TTATTCGTCAGGCAAAGTTTGGATTTCCTGTTAATAAGAGGATACAAACATTTTGTATATTTGTTACATTTGGCTTGAATTCCCTCAATGTGATCTTTAAAAGTTAATTTATGGTCAAGTATTAATCCAAGATATTTCACTTGGTTTGACCAGGAAATTGGAACTCCGTTCATAGTGACTATGTGACTACTACTAGGTTTCAAAAAGGAAGCCCTGGGCTTATGTGGAAATATTATAAGTTGAGTTTTGGAAGCGTTGGGAGAAATCTTCCATTTTTGTAAATAAGAAGAGAAAATATCTAAACTTTTCTGCAGTCTGCTGCAAATAACACGAAGACTTCTTCCTTTAGCGGAAATGCCTGTGTCATCAGCGAACAAAGATTTGTGGCAACCCTGAGGCAAATCAGGGAGGTCCGAAGTGAAAATGTTATACAATATAGGCCCAAGAATGCTACCCTGAGGAACTCCTGCTCTAACAGGTAGTTGATTAGATTTGGAATTTTGATAATTTACCTGCAGAGTTCTGTCAGTTAAATAATTTTGAACTAATTTCATAATGTAAAGTGGAAAATTAAACTTTTTCAATTTAGCAATCAAACCTTCATGCCAAACACTGTCGAATGCTTTTTCTATGTCTAGAAGAGCAACTCCAGTTGAGTGGCCTTCCGATTTGTTTGAACGAATTAAATTGGTAACTCTTAAGAGTTGATGAGTAGTTGAATGCCCATGGCGAAATCCAAACTGCTCATCTGCAAAAATTGAGTTCGTATTGATGTGAAGCATCATTCTATTCAAAATTATTTTTTCAAAAAGTTTACTTATTGAAGAAAGCAAACTTATTGGACGGTAGCTAGAAGCTTCAGCTGGATTTTTATCCGGCTTCAAAATTGGAACAACTTTTGCATTTTTCCATTTATCAGGAAAGTATGCCAAATGGAAACATCTGTTAAATAATTTTACCAGGAAAGACAAGGTACTCTCTGGGAGTTTTTTGATGAGGATATAGAAAATTCCATCATCACCTGGAGCTTTCATATTTTGAAACTTTTTAGTTATAGACCTTACTTCGTCCAAATCAGTCCCCCAGGAATCATCAAAAATATTTTCCCGAGAGAAAATATTCAGAAAATCCCGAGCAACCTGATTCTTAATAGGACTAGTAAGACCCAAACTGAAATTATGGGAACTCTCGAATTGCTTAGCAAGTTTCTGAGCTTTTTCCAAATTTGTGATCAAAATTTTACCACCTTCTTTAAGCGCTGGAATTGGCTTTTGAGGTTTTTTCAAAATTTTTGTGAGTTTCCAAAAGGGTTTGGAACTCGGGTCTAATTTAGAAACATTATTTTCAAAAGTTTTGTTCCTCAGGGCAGAGAATCGCTTTTTAATTTGTTTTTGCAAATCCCGCCAGATAACTTTCATGGCAGGATCGCGTGTTCTTTGAAATTGTCTCCTACGGACATTTTTAAGACGGATCAAGAGCTGAAGATCATCGTCTATTATAATTGAATCGAATTTAACCTCGCATTTTGGTACTGAGGCAGCTCTTGCTTCAACTATAGAAGTAGTCAGAGATTCAAGAGCATAATTAATTTCATCTTTGGTTTGCAAAGGAATGTTTGGATCGAAGTTATATTCCATAAATGTTTGATATTGCTCCCAATCAGCCCTATGGTAATTGAAAGTAAAGCTGTTGGGATTAGAAATTATTTCTTGGGATATTTCAAAAGTTACTGGAAGGTGATCAGAACCGAAGTCAGCATGGGTAACCAATTGGCTACAAAGATGACATGAATCAGTTAAGACCAAATCAATAGTTGAGGGATTTCTTGCAGAAGAAAAGCATGTTGGGCTGTTTGGATATTGAATAGTGTAATAACCTGCAGAACAATCATCAAACAGAATATTACCATTGGAATTGCTTTGAGCATTATTCCATGAGCGGTGTTTTGCATTAAAATCACCAATAATGAAGAATTTAGACCTATGACGGGTAAGTTTCTGGAGGTCACCCTTGAGAAAATTCTTTTGCTGGCCTACGCATTGGAATGGCAAATAGGCAGCTATAAACGTAAGTTGTCCAAATTTTGTTTCAACAGAAACTCCCAAAGTTTCAAAAACTTTGGTTTCAAATGAAGAAAGAATTTTATGCTTGTCTATGAATAATGATGGCAACGCCACCACAGGGTCCATCAAGACGATCATTTCTATAAATCAAGTAATTTGCGTCCTTCTTAACCTTATGGTCAGGTTTAAGGAACGTTTCAGTTATAACGGCAATATGCACGTTATGAACTCTCAAAAAATTAAATAGCTCGTCTTCATTATCTTTAAGAGATCGAGCATTCCAATTTAAAATGTTTAATGCTTTAAAATCCATTACTGAATTTTAAAGTCATGACAATATTATTTGCAAATTTTACTCCAGTTTGAATAGCATCAAACATGGAGTTAGATTTAAGCATATCAGAAATCATGTCAATTAATGAATTCTGTAAAAATTCCATTTTAGGGGCAGTAATGCTTCCTAAGTCAAAATTGTCAAAATTTCCGTTAGTACGTTGGTTAGTATTTTGATATCTACCCGCTGCAATAGCAGCATAGGTAGCTCCATTAACTCGCTGAACATTGTTAGCAGCGAGGGGAGTAGGTACAGATGAAACATTTGAAGCAGGAGTGATATTTGTACCTACGGGTACGAATGTAGAATTTGTTCCTCGCTGACCGTTGTTAACAGCAGAGGAATTTGTACCTGGTCGGAAACGTGGAGCGTTTCCTACCTGTCGGTTCGAACGATATTGTAGGATCGCTTTGCGAGTCTTACATTCCCAAAAATTGGATTTGTGGTTTTCACCACAATTTGAACATTTAAATTTCTTAGGATCTTCCTTCACAGGACAGTCGTCCTTTGCGTGAGAGGAATCACCACAATTCATGCATTTAGCTGGCATGTAGCAATTTTTAGTTCCGTGACCCCATCCCTGGCACTTACGGCACTGAGTGAGGTTTTGGAAATTTCCTCCAGTCTTCCTGAAGTGTTCCCACTTCACTCGGACATGGAGCATAAGGCTAGCTTTTTCTAAGGCCTTAAGGTTGTTTAGTTCACTAGACTTGAAGTGAACTAAATAAAAATCATTAGAAATCCCGTTGCGCGAATCGCCAGGACGGGATTTCATTTTCATTTTGATTACTTGGAGTGGCACAACTCCAAGTAATTTTGCCAGTTCATCTTTGATCTGATCCAGGGATTCACCACTGGGCAGTCCTTTCATGAGAACCTTGAACACACGTTCAGTTTTGGTGTCGTAAGTAAAAAAATTGTGCTTCTTCTCAGTAAGATACTTGAGAAGACATTTAAATCCGTCCAAGGTTTCAGCCAATACACGGCATTCACCCCGACGTCCAATTTGTAGTGAAAACTTAACTTTCACGAAATTCAAAAGTTCCATGCGAAGAGCATGGAAATCGGTAGTGGTTATCACAATAGGGGGAATCTTTTCCTTCTTGGCATTAAGCCGGGAAAGTTTACTAGAATTTTTCTTGGATGATGGATCATTCTCATCATCCGTGAGCAAATCAAATTGATTACTCAAATTAATTTCTTCAGAAGGGGGGTCAAGAGTTTGCCCCTTTCTTTTGCGTTTAGGCGCCATGGCGGCAGTAAATTTTTTATCCAAATCGACTTCCAAGCAGATTACTATAAGAATCTGAAGGATCGAAGAGGAATTTTCCAAATCGATATCCAAGAAGGATTACCTCGGGTAGGGTCCAAACAAGGATCGAAGAGGAATAAGAGGAGTTGAACAAGGTAGAAAATTTTTACAGGTTGAGCACTGAAAAGTGCTGTTTAAATTTGTTGTAGCTTTAGGTAGTAGTAACACTTCCTTAAGCAAAAAGCAAATAGATCCGCACGGCAAGAGAGCACGATGCGAAATGATGAAGCACATATAAGATTAGTTACAATACCATGTACAAAAATGATGTTTAACATTGTTTTCTGAGTAATACTTCAATGAAAACAACAATGAAAGCTTGTCACGCAAATAGAAGGAGCACTGTTGGGCACTTTCTGAAATATTTCAATAGTATAATTCCCTTGCAAACCCAAATGAATCTATCTGCGTAAAAAATAAATAAAACAAGAGTGATTTGCGGCAAAACCCGCCAGTATCACACCCAACGTCAGTGCCTATACGTAAGCGTACTACGACGCGGCTCTCAATAAAAGGAGTAACAAGTGTGATACTATCACTGCTAGACTAGATCTTTGGTTCTCTCATGCAGCGGTTTATCAGAGAGGGGAAGCTTAGTAATCCCCATCGCCTGCCCATGTCGCCATTCTATCGCGGCATGAGCCAGCAACGCCGACCATAAACCTACCGTCTCTAACACTCCACTATAAAGCATGAAATTAAGCCCGCCCACCAACAGCAAGGTGCAAAAACTAGCCAAGGGGAGGGAGCTAACAAACAGATATTTTGCAGAGATATCAGCAAAAGTAAATGCCGAGATAATCGGCTGTTGGAGATTTTACCGAGCTATATTAAGTAGTAGAAAGTATTAAACACACAAAGTTTCATTGGATTCCGGGAGAGTTCTACCAACTCCATTTTATGATGAAATTATTCCTTCAATACTGATGTGTGAAATGTTGGCTCAATGTGAAAGTGACTTATGCCTTGTTCAGACTACAGAATGATTACATGTTATAGCGCTATCTTTATGGTGGTTTCTGTGTTGCAATTATTTGATAACCGTTATAACATGTTATAACATTGTAGTCTGAACGTACTATTAGTGAGTTATTAAAAATTTCAAACATGGTTTTCTCTTATACATTGCTTAAGATTGGAAAAAGCTCTTGTCGTTTTGTGTGAAATAATAAAAGGAAAACGTTGACGAGAGCTTTTTACAATCTAAAGCGATGTTTCAGAGAAAGCCATTTAGGAAATTTAATACATATATGCTAACAAGAAACTTAAAAATCACTTATGGATTACTTACACAGTATCCTTTTTCCTAGCTGCTTCAAGTGTTTTCGGTTGTTCATTATTCAGGTAGCGTCTGACTCCTTGAGCCAATCCGACAAAATATTCTGGCCATTTTAGTTCCGAAATATCGATGTTGAACAACTCGCGATCCAACGGCTGCAATCGTTGGCTTACTTCGAGCGTTCGAGGGTTGTTGAATTTCCACTCACTGAATATAAACTTTTCAAGTCTGTTCAACGATTCCCAAACATTAGTGTGCATTCGTACCAATCTAAAAAAATATAAACAATTTGATAAAACTGGAAAATTCATATGTTCGCTACTCATCCCGTACATTGGTCGTCCACCGAAAAGCTTCGTAAGGAAATCAAGGAAATATGCGGGCATAAAATGAACAAAAATTGCTGATATCTTGTACATCCACAAGCTAGGCAGAAATTTCAAGTGCGGATACCTGTAACGAAAGAATTAGTTAGGGACAAATGATAAATGAAGTGCAATGAAACATGGATCAATACAAAGTTATAAGGATTTATTTTTAGTAACAAATGAAGCTCAACAACCTAGAGGATACTAATAGCGAATTCGTTTATTATTCAGTTCCAACCTGGATCGGGTATCAAGATTTGATCTGCTTGTTTTCTGACAAATGTCAGTTTGATCGTTTGTTTTTAAAACCCAGCTCAGGTTGAGGTTCGCACTGACAAAAAGTTCGTTTTCGCACACCCCGATAATAAACGAATTCGCTATAAGACTGATGAGCAGGTTCCAATATATAACACAATGAATGATTTATACTTACCAAACAGCAGACTTCAACGGGTACTTGTGTAAATACTCATTCACTTGCTCTTTCACACTATCCCACCTGAAGGGATTGCATGTGCTTGAAGTGCAATGATAGATTGAAAGCTCTTTGAAGCTGAAATAAATGAAATAATAAATAATAAATAACCATAAGTCTTAGCTATTCGAATTAAGGAAAAAAAAACAAGCAAATTTTTTTTTTAAACTTTATTAAAGAGATTTTTAGCCTAAGGCTAGTTCATCTCTAAAACAAGCTAAGTCCCTTAAAGTGATACAGTCTGGATTGTGTCCGAGATTTACTGCAAGTCAGCCATCCAGCCGGTGATGTGTGGACGCTGTATCGTATCACCTTTTAAGAGCTGTTCACAAACTACTTGGATATATTTTGAGAGATTTTAGGCATCCCGTGAATGGTAATTGAAAAAAAACTACATAATTATATATTCCAAAAATGACATTTTTTTAAACATCATAACTTTTTAACCACTCGGCCGATTTGAATGATCGAAATATCAAATGAAAGGTTATAAAAAATACTTTTCAGAAAAAAATATATATATTTTTTTTAATTTGGAGTTTTATATAGAAGAACTTTGATTGTATGTGTTTTTATGCTTCATTTGTTACCAATGGGCTTAAAACGTTTTTATATTTTTCTTTAGAAATTTAGGCTTTTCTACACTAGACTAAGTAGACTAGAAATTTCAAAAAAATCGTAATTCAAAAACGAAGAAAAATACATCGCTGATTTTTTAATATGTTGTGTAGCTTAAATTTTCAAAGTAAAATATAAAAACGTGTTACGCCCATTGTCTACAAACCATGAAAACCATAAAAAAGACATTCAATAAAAGTTCTTCTATACAAAACTGCAAAAAAAAAAAAAAAAAAAAAATCTGAAAAGTATTTTTCATACCTTTTCATTTGATATTTTTATCATTCAAATCGGCAGAGTGGTTCAAAACTTATGATTTAAAAAAAAATCATTTTTGGAACAAATTGAAAAAATCAATTATTTGGACCACCCTAACATGGAAATGGGCACCCTACAGAGAAAATAAAAAAAAAATATGGCTCTAATATTTTTCAATAAGGAACAAAACTACCAATTGTTACGAAATTCTGAGAACCACTATATCGTTTTGCTATGGAATGGCTGTATATATATATATATATATTATTTATATAGGCAGCTCTTGCTTCAACTATAGAAGTAGTCAGAGATTCAAGAGCATTTTTTTTTATTATAGTCACTTTAACACTCTTGGGTCATTCGGGACTTGTCCGGGGGTGAGATTTGAGCTCGTGACTTTGGCGTGAGAGGTATGGATGTTAACCACTACACCGGGGTAGCCCCCAAGAGCAAGAGCATTATTATTTCATCTTTGGTTGCAAACGAATATTTGGATCAAAGTTATATTTCATAAATGTTCGATATTACTCCCAATCAGCGCTATGGTAATTGAAAGTAGAGATGTTTGGAATAGAAATTATTTCTTGGGATATATCAAAAGTTACTGGAAGGTGATCAGAGCCTAAGTCAGCATGGGTAGCTACAAAGTTGATATTAATCAGTTAAGACCAAATCAATAGTTGTGGGATTTCTTGCTGAAGAAAAGCATGTTGGGCTGTTTGGATATTCAATAGTGCAATAATCTGCATAACCATCATCAAACAGTATAATTGGAATTGCTTTGAGCATTATTCCATGAGCTGTGTATTGCATTAAAATTACAATAATGGAGAATTTAGACCTATGACGGGTAAGTTTCTTTTTTCATTTGAATGGCAAATAGGCAGCTATAAATGTAAGTTGTCCAAATTTTGTTTCGACAGAAACTCTCAAAGTTTCAAAAACTTTTGTTTCAAATGAAGAAAGAATTTTGTGTTTGATACGTCTATGAACAATGATGGCAACGCGACCATCGGCTCCATCAAGACGATCATTTCGATAAATGGAATAAATTAGCGTCCCTTTTAACCTTATGGTCAGGTTTAAGGAACGTTTCAGTTATAATGACATATGCACGCTATGAACTCTCAAAAAGTTAAATAGCTCGTCTTCATTATCTTTAAGAGATCGAGCATTCCAATTCAAAATATTTAATGCTTTAAAATCCATTACTGAATTTCAAAGTCATGGCAATATTGTTCGCAAATTTTACTCTAGTTTGAATAGCATCAAACATGGATTTAGTTTTAAGTATATCAGTAATCATATAAATTAATGATTTCTGTAAAAAAAATTCATTTTAGGAGCAGTAATGCTTCCTAAGTCAAAATTATCAAAATTTCATCCAGAAGTCAAGGAGGAGATCGGTCGGATGAAAAACAATAAAGCTGCTGGCATTGACCAACTACAAAGTGAGTTACTAAAATACGGGAGTGAAGGCACTATCTAGAGCATAGCACTACGCTATTACCAAGATTTGGGAGGAAGATATATAGCCGGAGGCATGTATGGATATTTTTGTTCACCAATGAAAATTTAGTCGATTGCTGAATTTAGGTATGGGCCCAAATTAGGGGCATTTAGGCCGATATTACATCCATTTCCCCTAAGTAAATAAATACAAAATCTTTTTTTTTATTTGGCTTTATTACATCCCTACTGGGACTTAACACTCCCACAGTTGATAATTTAGAGCTTTCTTGCCTGTGCCATTAGTATAATTATGTGGCAGTACAATCATATTCTATGCCCAGGGATGTCGTGAAATTTTATCAATGTATCTATATAATAAGTCTATCATTCATTTATCAGAAATTTCGTATAAAATAAATTACCTGTTCTGCTGTATATGAAATGCTGTAACGAGTATTTGGTTAACGACCATATCCACAGGAATATAGTCATATATAAGTTCAATTCCGACAGGAAGTCGACGGATTACTCCTTTGGCAGCTCCCATAAGAAATCCTTGAGGTCCATTTTTGGAAATCGTCCATCCAGGTACAGGATCTTTCCACGCACCAGTAACTGAAAATAAAATAAGGTTAACAAGCATTCACTTATGTTTACTCTTATAGGGGAACTAGGGGCAAAAAGGTCACCCGGGGGATGAGTGCCATCCTCAATATATTTTGAAAATGAAATCATTTCAATCCTATCTCACGATGAACCTATGCACGGTATTCCTATGAAGCATTCTAAAAAGTTCTGTCCGAATCGAAGTCGTAAAAAAATGCAAAAAATCATTTAGTGTTGATGCATTGAAAAGCTAGTTTTTTATAAGAATAAGGCATCATAAAATAAGGTTTTCGAAATTTCCAATTTATTTTTTTCACAATTTCTGCATTGAGACGTCACTATTGATGGTTGATTGAAACATTAGTAACAATAAATTATTAAATATTTTCTTTAATTAATCAAAAATTATATTCCTAAAAATAAACTTTATACGGGGCAAGAGTATCACCCCTACATTTATGTATTAAATTGTACAAAACTGTTCAGAAATTAGCACAATTGGGCATTTATGTTTCCAAAATACATTGTCTTCGTGAAATTTGGGAAAACAAACTGTATAAAATAGTATCAAAAATAGTTTCCATTTGAATTCTTTGACGCGCATGGTTTATATGTTTTTGATAAAAAAAATATCAATATTATAGTGGAATAAACAATAAAAGCAGTTGCTGTCATACCTAAGAATAGTAATTTGTTGTTTAGAAATGAACATTTATCAGTTTCACTTCATTTTAGACATATGGTCTTTTTGAAAAAAATAATTAACATTTTTTGATGGGGTTTAATTTTAATTTCAATGATGACACATGGAGACAAGTTTATAAACTTACAATTCGGTTCACGAACTCCTATAAATATTCACGGAATCGCATATTAAAACGCGTTATCGTTAGGGTGACCTTCTTGCCCCTAGTTCCCCTATCTAGGATAACGGTACATGAAAAATTAAGATGATCCTTGACATAGGAAGAAAACAATTGTAACCTACGTGTTACAATTTGTTCCGTGTTTCAATTTACTTTGATGTATTTTTTAAAAATTCAAAATCAGTTTTTTTCGACGCGTTATTTTAGATTGCAAAAAGCTCGCGTCATATTGTGTAAAATACCAAAAGGAATCGAATAGTGCGAGCTTTTTGCCATATGAAATAATGCGTCGGAAAAAACAGCTTATGAAATTTTCCAAAAAGCATCAAAGTAAATTGAAGCTTAATCAATTATTGTACTACTGTTTGTATATGAGCCTTGCTAATATATTGGACGGAACTTATCGTGTGTCCTTGGACCTTCTAACTCTCGAATTGAAGCTTTTTGCAGTCATATGAAATAATTGCTAACAGTGAGAAACAAATTTATAACTTAATCATAGTCCATTTGATTGTTTATCACTGTGAATCATGCCAGTGAATTATAGATTTTCTACACATATCGCTGTGAAGAAACTGTAAACTATAAATGAAATTTATATCTGTAGGTGTAAAAGGTTGGAACCAGTTTGATTTTGTTTGCCAGTCTGATTGAGATGTTCATTCTTTTAAAGCTAAATCGTAAAAAGGTGGGACCATCATAATCATTGTTATATTCAATTTCAAACACTTACTCATACTTGGCCGTACAATGCCACACGGAAATAATGCAGCACACTTGTTTACTTCATGTTCGGCCAAATGTTTTGTGAATGTGTACGTGTTCGGATGATCCATTAACAATCTGTTAAGAATAGAGAAAAAAGTACTGGATTAAATGACCGTTCTGTCAATTAATGATAGCATGTTGCAATTGATATTAATTTTGAACCAAGGTTCCAAATACTCATTTCCTGAAAAAAAAAATTGATTTGGAATAATATAATCATTAGATGATATTATTATATTTTGTACTACAGTAATGAACCGAATTTGTCAGTCCGTTTTGAAAATCGTTTTTATTGTTCAAAACATGAACGTAAAGGATTTGAAATTAAGGTTATGTTGGCCATTTGGCATAAATGTAAAAAAAAAACTTATACCGATAAATAGAGGTCTTACCATCTGGGCTGAACTTCAACGGAATAAGGTAGAACAGCCCTTAATAAAAAGAAGGGAAAATAATGATATAATAGATATTTTTCTTTCTTTTGAACATGAGCTTTTCTGAAAAACGGCGTTATGCCAAACAATATTATTGTTGAGACGCCGCTTGGACACCCCTAGTTAACGAGCATAGCTGCAGCATGACAGCTCGCGCGCTGGAGTGTTAGTAGTAGAAAGTACAAAACAATACAGATGATAGTGGAGATAGTACATAAGGAAAACAAAACAAAACAGATAGAAAAGGATAAGTTCGCCATTGCAACAAAAGTCGGTTGTTTACGGTGCAATTTGTAGCAATTAAATTCAACAGTAAAAGTGGTTTATTGAGTTCAATTTCGCAATTAGCTAACAGATAGTGCAACAAGAATCGGTCGGTTCAAATCGTGGTTCAAAGCTGTAAGTAGTGAGAAGAAGTGAGATTAATTCATTTACTTACCTGATTGTGTTTCTCCCAGAAAACCCACCAAACAGATTACGGTGAGGGTAGCGGTACTCAAGTTCGCCAAATTGAGGGAAATCAGAAAACGGAGTCTAGTGGTAAAGGAAACCACTTTGTTGTGAGTAATTTACTTAATTATTATTATGATTATTTATTGATGATAAATAAATTACAGTTTAAGCGTTGCATCAAAAAAAAAGTTGCTGCTTTAAAAATTTGGTTTCCCTTCGGGAACATTCTTAAAAACAAAGTGACACTCAAAGTGTCCAAGTGAGAAGTCGGACCTGCCACAAAATGACATCCGATTCCGAATCCGTGAAGGACAAAACCGTCCTTAATCTCACGGAAACTCCGTGTGGGATTTGCGGTCCATCAACGTGCGCGGAAGAGATGATCGGCTGCGACGGGTGTTCCGAATGGTTCCATTCCCGTTGCGTGGGCATCTCGGAGGGCAAATCGATGAAGAAGTGGTACTGCCAAAGTAAAGCCTGTCAGGAGAAGGCCCAGGAGTACCAAAAGCAGAAGGACGCCAAGAAGCAGGCTCGGAGCAAGAAGCAAACTGACGAGTCTGACAAATCCAGCGTCAACTCTCGCTTAGGGGCGTCTAGCGTGGAGGCAAAAGTGCGGGCGCTAGAAGAACGTCAGAAGAAGCAATACGAAGAGCTGGCGGTGGAGCTGCAGCTGCGAAAAAAGGAAAGGGAGATGCAGCGTGCGTTCGAAAGTAAGAAGATGGAGTTGGAGCTGCAGATGCGCGCGGAAGAAGAAAAGGAGCAAAAGGCTTGGCAAGCGGAGATGCTCAAGAAGAAGATGGAGCAGATCAAGCGGATGAAGGCGAACCAGAAATCGTTCGAGGAACAAATGGCGGATCTTGATCAGGAGTTAGCAGGGCTTTCGGCCGTCAAAAAGCCCGTAGTAAATAAAGTAGTCCGAAACGAGATGCGAGCGGAACCTAGCGGTAAATACAACAAAAACCAGTTGAAGCTGAGTAAGGAGAACGTGAAGAAGCTACTCGATGACGACGAATACACCGATGAGCAAGACGACGAAGAAACTGACGATGAGGACGATCAAGACGACGACAAATCCGATGATACAAGCCTATCCGAAGCATCGCTGGAAGAGGAAATCGTGAAGCCGAAAAAGGTTAAGAGGATCGGACCGACAAAAGCCCAGCTGGCCGCGAGAAAGGGATTAACGTACAAACTTCCCAAATTCTCGGGCAATCCAGCGCAATGGCCATTGTTTCACGCGGCCTACAAAGCATCCAACGATGCATGTGGTTACATGAACCACGAGAACCTGATGCGATTGCAGGAAGCCCTTGAAGGTGACGCCCTCGAGCTGGTATCTGGTCAGCTGCTTCTTCCAGAATCTATTCCGAAGGTCATCGAGAAACTTCGCAGACATTACGGCCGTCCGGAGCAACTGCTTCAAAGTCTTCTAGACAAAGTTAACCAGCTGGAACCTCCAAAAGCGGATAACCTGTGGAGCTTTGTCCCATTTGGAAACACTGTGGAGCAACTCTGCGGACATCTGGAGGCCGCGGGACTTCGACATCATCTCGTCAACCCGCTTCTGATAAAATCTCTGGTTGCCAAACTACCCGATCGGGAAAAGCGTGAATGGGTTCACTACTGGAGAGGCAAGAAGGAACCAACGCTACGAACGCTAACGGATTTCCTGATGGACATCGTGTCGGATGCTTGCGAGGCCAATGTCGATATCGATTTCAAGCCATCATACCAGTCAAAAAGTGGGCCATCGTCCTGGAAGAAGACGCCGAAGGAGAAAGGTGCGCTGTACTGCCACAACGAAGCCAATGGTCCAGGTCCCAGTTCGAACGACCGGAAAAGATTGAAGCCATGCAATCAATGTAACAGCACGGAACACCGTCTTCGGCACTGCGCGGATTTCAGGAAGCTTCGGTATGCGGACCGGATGAAGGTAGTAACTCGCGACAAACTATGCAACGTGTGCCTCAATGATCATGGAGGGCATTGCAAGTTTAAAATCCGCTGTAACGTCAGCGATTGCAGGGAGTTCCACAATCCGCTGATGCATCCAGTGAGAAACGCTGTTGGAATGAGCGCACATATTCGTTCCAACTGCACGGTCATGTTCCGTATGGTTCCGGTACAGCTCCACTGTGGTGGAAAATCGATCACGGTGCTAGCGTTTCTAGACGAGGGTGCCTCCGTCACGTTGGTAGAGAAGAAACTAGCTGATCGGCTGGGCGTCGTCGGAGTACAGGAGCGATTGACGATCAAGTGGACGGCCGATATCACGCGCGAAGAGAAGGAGTCCCGGCGGATGAATCTGTGGGCGTCGGGTGTTAGTGCCGATGCGGGCAACAAGCTGCTGCTGCATAGTGTCCGTACGGTTGGAAAACTGATGCTGCCACGCCAGAGGCTGGATTTCAAAGAGCTTGCCGCACAATATCACCACATGCGAGGATTGTCAATCGAGTCGTACGACGGGCAACCGGAACTACTCATCGGACTGAACAATATTCACTCGTTTGCTCCGATAGAGGCGAAGGTTGGTGCACCGGCAGATCCGATCGCGGTTCGGTGCAAACTTGGATGGACGGTATACGGTCCAAGGCACTCCACCACGGTTGCAGCGGGAAATTACTTCGGATACCACCAAGGAACCACCAACGAGGACCTACACGAACTGCCTAAAAGCCATTACGCTCTGGAGGAATCGGTGGTGGCTGTACAGCAGGAGTCTACGGAGGATAAACGAGCACGGGAAATTCTCGAGCGGACGACCAAACGGATCGGCGAACGCTTCGAAACCGGCCTACTGTGGAAAACAGATGATCCACGGTTTCCGGAAAGTTTCCATATGGCCGTCAGAAGAATGAACCAGCTGGAGAGGCGTCTAGAGAGGAATCCGGAGTTACACAAAAACGTCTGCAAGCAGATCGACGAATATCAGGAGAAAGCCTATGCACACCTGGCTACCAAGGATGAATTAGCTGGAACTTCTCCCAACGAGGTATGGTATCTCCCACTCAGCGTAGTGCAAAACCCCAAAAAACCAGGTAAGATACGTCTTGTGTGGGATGCGGCAGCGACGGTGCAAGGGATTTCTCTGAATTCACAGTTGCTGAAAGGGCCCGACATGCTGGTTCCGCTGATCAAGGTTCTCTTCGGTTTTCGCGAATGGCGAATTGCGTTCGGTGGAGATTTGAAGGAGATGTTTCACCAAATGAAGATTCGCGCCGAAGACAAGCAAAATCAGCGATTCGTTTTAAGGAAATCTCCGGACGATTCGCCAAACATCTACGTCATAGACGTGGTGACATTCGGATCGACAAGCTCTCCTTGCTCGGCTCAGTTTGTCAAGAACCGCAACGCTGAAGAATTCGCCGCTCAGTATCCCGAAGCAGCTGCTGCCATCATACATCGCCACTACGTCGATGATTACTTCGACAGCGTCGACTCGGTGGAAAAGGCTGTGAAGTTGGCGCAGGAGGTGTGCTTGGTCCACCAGAAAGCAGGCTTCGAAATCCGGAACTGGGTTTCCAATGCCCCAGAAATTCTCCAGGCTCTGGGAGAGCCAAAGCCGCCCGTTCCAGTACACTTCGGGCGCGACAAGGAGACATCTAAGGAAAGAGTTCTGGGAGTCATCTGGTATCCAGACATGGATGAGTTCGCATTCTCGACGATGCATCGTGAGGAGTTGAAGCCGTACCTGTACGAAGGAAAACGACCAACGAAAAGGCTTGTTGCTAGCTATGTGATGGGATTCACCATACACGGCAAAATCATTATTCAACATCTGTGGCGTTCGAACTGCGATTGGGACCAAGAAATCGATGCCATTTCCTGGGAGTTGTGGAAGCGTTGGACAAATCTTCTGCCAGAGGTTGAACCTATCTGGATTCCACGTTGCTATATCGGTAGTGCCAAGGCTGCCGAAGTCGACTCGATGGAAGTACACATCTTCACCGACGCCAGCGAACATGGATACGGCTGCGTAGCATACTTGAGAGCGGTCATCGAAGGAGAAGTTCACTGCAGTCTGATGATGTCCCGGGCGAAGGTGGCGCCGATAAAACGTCAATCGATTCCACGCCTGGAGTTGATGGGTGCTCGGATGAGTCAAACGATCCTGGGCACGCACTCTTATCAGATCAGTCGCACCGTTTTCTGGACGGACTCTCGCACTGTGTGCAGTTGGCTCAATTCCGATCAACACCGATATAAGCAATTCGTTGCATTCCGGGTCGGTGAGATTCAAGAGCTGACGAAGGTAGAAGATTGGAGATGGATTTCGACCAAGCTGAACATCGCAGACGTGCTGACGAAGTGGGGACAAGGTCCGCCGTTGCAAAGTGAAGGAGAATGGTTTAACGGGCCAGCGTTCCTGTATCGGTCGCAAGAGCAGTGGCCAAAGCAAGAGACGGTGATGAAGGGCTCGGATGGAGAGCGTGGTGAACCTAGCGGCGATGGAGGTAAGGAAAATCCTAGAATGCCGGATGTTACGGGCCGGGGTGTTGAGACGCCGCTTGGACACCCCTAGTTAACGAGCATAGCTGCAGCATGACAGCTCGCGCGCTGGAGTGTTAGTAGTAGAAAGTACAAAACAATACAGATGATAGTGGAGATAGTACATAAGGAAAACAAAACAAAACAGATAGAAAAGGATAAGTTCGCCATTGCAACAAAAGTCGGTTGTTTACGGTGCAATTTGTAGCAATTAAATTCAACAGTAAAAGTGGTTTATTGAGTTCAATTTCGCAATTAGCTAACAGATAGTGCAACAAGAATCGGTCGGTTCAAATCGTGGTTCAAAGCTGTAAGTAGTGAGAAGAAGTGAGATTAATTCATTTACTTACCTGATTGTGTTTCTCCCAGAAAACCCACCAAACAGATTACGGTGAGGGTAGCGGTACTCAAGTTCGCCAAATTGAGGGAAATCAGAAAACGGAGTCTAGTGGTAAAGGAAACCACTTTGTTGTGAGTAATTTACTTAATTATTATTATGATTATTTATTGATGATAAATAAATTACAGTTTAAGCGTTGCATCAAAAAAAAAGTTGCTGCTTTAAAAATTTGGTTTCCCTTCGGGAACAATTATGATAAACGGGGTAGAGCCCTAGGTCTGTCGAAGACAACTCACAGTCTCCTTCAGACTGCTGCGATGGATTTCAAATAAATCAAATCAATGCATGACTATCCCGTAGCCAATGTTGTTGAGTAGATTTTTTAACTAATCATGTTTGTATTCATTCGTGAAGTTAACAATTTACATAGTTGGTTATGCTCAACGTCAAATATCAGACTTAAAGCTGTCATTTTTATACGATAGATGAGAATATGAGAGTATACAGTTGATACGGCAGAGTACGACAGTGTGAAAATTGTATATAGAGAGTAGAAACCGAGCAAAGGTGAATTTTGAGGAAGTTACGAATTAGGTTGATCATCATTTCACACTACCGTACTCTAACGGAACTATAAAAAAATCATCTATCATATACACGGAGAAAAAATACTACCCAAAATTTGAGTTCTTTAACAAGCCTCTCACTTGCACTCTTTATTGTTGTCAAAAAAGGAACGAGAGATTCGATCCAACGATATAGTTCACCCCAATAAGTTGCTTTTGAGTAAATTGCATATTCTCCAATTTACGTGAATTAAACTTAATTTTGGGTAGAATATACTTAAGAGTAGGTATTTTTTTTTGCTGGTGTTAAATGGAAACTACTAAATGCGATTTGTTATTGGGCTGAACCCCGGAATTGAGGGAAAAGTACTTAATTTTGGGTATTTTTTCATCTCCGTGTACAAATGACCACTTTAAGTCTGATATTTGACGTTAAGCATTATCAACTATGTAGATTTTTTTCGTTTTTCGATAGCAGTTAGAGCAACCGGTGAACACTCGTGTTTATTTCAGTAACCGTGGGGACGTAATTTTTGATTAGCCCCGGTCCCTTTCAAGTTGTATCATTATTTATGTATGGTCCTAATATTTGAAATGACGTTTCACATTCATCTAGTGATGGCCGATTTTCATTCGAATTATCGATTAATCGATTAACGAACCGAAAAGTAAAATATTTGTAATCGGTTATATCATGCCGATATAAGCATTAACTTCTTTAGAGGATCATCACCGATCGTTTCAAACATGTGCTGCACTCTCATTGGTGGAAAAATGGTAGCACAGCGAACAAAAAAATCGATTAGTTTTTAATCGAGTAATTAAAAAATGGGACACCTCTGATTTTGGTGTGTTTGTTTTGATCAAAATGAGCGCAAAATTTCATCTCTTCCGAGGGGCACCAAAACCACAAAATTACCTTAAATACGGGGGGTATTCATTGCATGAAAGGGACCGTGAAAGAGGACACTAAAATAGAAAGTTTTTCTTCCGACAGTTTCATCTTAGTATTCATCTTTGGTTAGAGTGTGGCGCTACGAGAAGATTGTGTACATGTACTGGTAGAATAACATTCTTGTAAAAGAATCAGTATCACTGAAAAACCTACCAAACAAAGTTGTAAGTGTAACTCTGTCATTAAGGGCAGGGTATTATCAGAAAATGAGCAGTTCCACGCCAAATGACGAATCGATCAGACACAACCTTCTCCGATTTTCTTGAAAATTTGCACAATTGTTTATTATGGGCGTCATTTATATTCTCGCTAAAATTTGGAAATTTTGAATCTTACTGTTACGTATTCGATATTGTTTAACAAATCATAACTTAAAAATGTCACTTCTTAACGAAATGATGTTGAAAAAAATATAGGGGAAGTGCACCAGTATTGGCCAAAGGTTCCTATTTTGGCCACACCTCAGAAAACCGATTAAATTACAATATTCGTGCATTTTGTGGTCGAAATGTTTATGTACATCGATGAATATGATTTGTACCATTTTTTTATTTTTTATTAAAAAGCTCATGTAAAATGCTAGGTAAAATCGAAGACAACAAATCAAGAAGTCTTGCAACTCTTCCATTTTCTCATACGAACGCTATGAGACAGGTACAATCGCGTCATCTGCCGCTCAAAGTTAAATGCTTCGAACGAATTTGATAGCAAAGATTACATCCTCAGAAGAAGGTTTTGTGTATTTGCTCATTATTCTATGCGTTGCTTCCACCTTCACTCAAGCGCAGCGCCACTGTATCTGTTGCTTGGATTCTGGCAAAGTTGCCAGTCTTCTTGATTTGTTGTCTTCGGTAAAATGCTAACCTCTATGAAATTATTCAACATAAAACAACAACTTTTACGCATATGTAGAACAACAACCTCTACTAAAATTTTTGAACTTTTTGATTTCTTTGTCTCAGATGTCATTTCGATTGGAAGTGACGTTTTCGCGTTATGATTTGAGGAAAAATATCAAAAACGCCATTTTGAATGTTTTTGAAAAATTTAAATTTAAAAATTTAAAATGGCAACTTTTAGCTAATTTAAAATGGCCAACTTTTAGCGAAAATGTGACTGACCACCCATAACAAGAAATTGTGCAAAGTTACATGCAAATTGGAGAAGGTCAAGTCTGAAATTTAATGTTTTTGCTATTTGACCTCGAAGTGCTCAAATGTTACTGATTGGAGCTTACCTCTATAAGTGGTTTGCATACATAAATCTCTTTATATTAAAATTGATTTTCGATATGTTCAATAAGAATTATCCCGAATAAAGGTAGTCATATGAGAATTGTACCAATACCATATACTATTACTTACTTTTCAGTCAGTTGATCAAGAGCATCGTCGCTCAAAGAGTTCACCAAATCAATGATTTTTTCTGCATCCTCGTGCACTGGATACAACTTTTCATCTGCTTCCTTGAGGTAGGAGTTTACATAAGCACTAGATACATGCACCATGCACTGAAATTGTAGGAAAACTAGAGATTAATTTCGAGAGCATAGGATTTTTTGAATTACACTATTCGAAAAAAAAAACGGTTTTTATTGCATGTCATTTTTTCTTGTTTAGGAAATGATACTGAAAATAAGAACAATTGCTTGGATGGAGAGTTTTTTACGAAAATGGTGAAAAGGCTGCCTACTGGTGGGAATTGAACCCACACTTCCCAATACGCTAAACGGGCGCTTTACCACTTACCGTTACCGTTGACGGAAATGTAAAAATTCTATCACAATTAATTACGTCCTTGATTCGCTCTTTCTCTGTATGGTCTACTGTATGTTGTAGCCTATACAGAAAAGGAGAAAAGGATCGAGCGTAACAATAATGTTCTCATGAATATGAATAGAGGTAAGCTTTTTCAGGATATTTACACAAGTCATGACCGGGATTACCAGTATTTCTCATACCTTCCTGAGCCAATGAGTGATATTGTAGTTAATAATGTTACCCTCAACGAAATCTTACATTCACTAAATACATTGGATGCAGGACCAGATGGATTGCCACCTGTATTCTTGAAATCAGTATCGCAGAAGACAGTAACGCCATTGTTTTGGCAATTTAGGAGGAATCGTTTTTGATTCCAATTTTCAAAAATGGAAAAAAAATCAGACTCAAAAAATTACCGTGGAGTTGCTATATTGTCATGCATTCCTAAACTCTTTGAATCTATAATAAATCAAAATGTTTTCGCACAAGTTAAACATTTAATTACAGGCAAACAGCTATTCAAATTATCTAAGTTAGGTTTTAGTCAAAGTGTATTCAGTCATACTTGACCGGTAGGACACAAAGAGTTAGATTGGAAGGAGAATTAATGTAAGTAGTCAATGTAACATCTGGTGTGCCACAAGGTTCCTATCTTGGACCATTACTGTTTATTCTATTTGTTAATGATGTAGAGCACATATTGAATATCCTGAATATCTCAATATATGCAGACGACATGAAACTTTTCCTTGAAATTCGTGAAGCGTCTGATCTTGTATTTCAACAAGAAATTGATAACTTTTACACTTAATGCACACAAAGTTTATGGACGCTTAATGTGAAGAAATGTAAATGTGCAATCAAGTTAGAGATTTAGGTGTTATACTAGATTCAAAATTAAGCTTTGTTGAACATTATCTACAAGGCAAGCAACATGATAGGGTTTATTAAAAGGTTAAGTTTTCATTTCAAAGATCCATACACAATCAAAACATTATACGTTGCTGTAGTATAGGCTGGGCTCCATATCAAAATACTCATGTAAACCGCATTTAATCAGTTTAAAACCAGTTTCCAAACCAAAACCATTTTATGAGTCTCGATGTATGTTGATCAATTTGGATGCACTTGAAAAGCAAAGGCAGTTTGCAATGATAGCTTTTATAAACGATGTTGTAGCACAAATACTGAATGCCACAGAGATTTTAGAAAATCTAAATTTGTATGCTCCCACTCGTTCCGTAAGAAACATAAATGTTAACATGTTAACAACCAAAGAACAAACTATGCCAGGAACGCGCCTTTAAATAGAATGATGTCTTGTTATAATGAACATTATGAAACAATTGATTTGACAATGAACAAAATACTCTTAAAAATGTTTCTTTTCGAGGTTAGTCATAGATTAAAAATTAAAATAGATGTTAAGTGTTTTTAACTTAAACTGGTCTACATTTGATTGAATAAATAAATATCGGAAATCGGAGAAGATCAATTCTGAAATTTGTTTTTTTATCCGCATTTATGCATTTGGCATGGATTTGCTAAATTATAAAAAATATGATTCAGGTATTACGATTCAGGTATCAAATTTCCCTATTTTTCCCGGTTGCAACATTGTTATTCCGGTTTGAAAGAAAGTTTCTACTAGTTAAATATGATAAATCATGGAATACCACCATTATTGGTTTAAGATGTTGCTAGTTGAAAAAAATGGCAGAAAACCAAAAAATATATATTTATGATATTGGAACCTTATTTGTAAAACAAAATTGGTAATTTTTTTGTTGAGATACCAGATTTTATGATAGAATTTAACAACTGATATTCCCTGATTTTCCAGTCATTTTAAAATAAATTTCAAACATAGATAGAAAACTAACCGCATTTTTCTGCATTCAAAACTTTTAAGTGTGGCACCAGGTAATTCAAGCAGTAACCAGGATGTTACTTTGATTGATAGTAATGTGCAGCGAATCCAACCACATTAAGCAACCAACGATAAAGACAAAACGCTTTGTACTGCTACCACGATATACTCTGTCTGTAATATAGCTTACTCAGAGTTGTAAAATGAATCTTCCGGAAATTTTAAGTTTAACTCTAAAGGAAATCAAAGGAATTATTATATGAATTGTTGCGGACACTTTGGAAATGGTATGAAATTTACCTTATATTCCAAGGGATTCAATATTCAGGATAATCCTGGGTGAAATTCTTAGATAGATCTATTAAACATCACTCCTTACCAAAATTCAAGAATCAAAGGTAAATTTTGGTAATACTGCATTTCTTCTAACAGATTCTGGGACAAGGGTTTTGTTTTCCAAACATAGATTGAGCAAAGTTTTCGACGTGCATCGTAAACATAATTCTATAAATATAGGCATAAAAAACCGACTACCGGTTGTTT